CACACACACACACACAGGCATGAGTCAACATGGCTGGAAAGGGTTACGTATGTAACCTGCAACACGTGACACACATTTACCTCATTTGTTTTGGTCAGAGCAGATGAGGTAACCTATCTTCTCTCTCTCTCTCATCTCTGTCCCCTTTCTCACTCCCCCCCACGTCACCCCCTTGAGTTAAACTTTACGTCAACGTTTGCGTCTCGACACCTGCCTGTTAGCAGCCACTGTGTTTAGTGAAACGTCAGTCTGGGTAATTACAGTCTTCTCTCCAGCGTGCTTTCAAACGAAACCCCAACATGACACGGTCAGACCGACAGCTACTACAAAGAGTTGAGCGAATGGACGGCCCTCTAACCGCTCTGACTATAAACATATCTGCTGACACATCACTGGGCCATAACAAACTTGATGAGAAACTACAATATGTGGCCCAGGGCGCACGAGGAGTCCTGTAATTACACGCGTAAGGAAGACAGAAGAGAAACAACAGCGGCCTGTGTCTCCCAGAGTGCTTCGTCATCAAAAGAAACACAAAGATTTCTTTTGAGTCTGCTGGATAAAAACATGTTTTGTACAGGTCACACTTCTGAGATGCAGCCTAATTGTCTGATAAAAATATATATGCTGCCTCATGATCTTCAATGTGAGTGCAGACAGATTGAATTACACCTTCCTCCTCCTTCCTCCTCCTTCCTATTCTTCCTCCTCCAACTGTCCAGAGGGTGGGACAGCTTTCCTCAGGGCTGAAATTTCAAATCAATACCCCAACAGTCTGTAATGAGCAGATTACCCAGGGTCAGGATAAGAAAACCTGGGCTCACACGTTGCCAAAAACTCATCATTCAACCTCAACAAATCCCAGCTACTGGGTCTGTTGGTCCCTGCCTGTGTGGGCCAAAAGTCTCCAGGGTCATTGAGAGCAGCTACAGTCATAGCAACTTTAGAAAAACAACTTAAAGCCAATGCCAGTTAGCTGACTCTGAATCACCCAGCTGCCTTCAATCTCTGGCAAAATGACAAGAAGCCAAGTTTTCCAGGGATTCTTTATCATTATTTGAGCATTCAGATCTCAGTTTAAACAGATTTTTGTAGTCCGCAAACTTTTTTGGCCTTCACTGGCATTCCTAAACTAGTTTCCAGTCCTGTTAAAATCAGTGTTTCCATGTGAATGGGCCTGCCAGGCAACTTTTGTCTCAAACTCTTTCCGTTACACACCTTCCATTATTGGCATTTCCGCAATTGACACCCTCTTAAGTGGATGCAAGGCGCTCGTGAATCCAAAGTTTCCTCAAGCAAATTTGTCTTCATGTAATAGAAGCCAAAATGGGATAAAGAGCAGGGTAAAGAGAGCCTAAGTTTGGAGAATATAATACACACACACACTTTTGCAGACACATGCACAAACACACTCTCACTCCATACTCACCCCAGTGAGAGCCCTGCATCGCTGCCTCCACTTGTCTCCGTCTCTCTTGGAAAAAAATGTAAAAATCACTCCAGTCTGTGTTGGCTCAGATTCTCCCCCGTCTCTCCTTTCTTTTTCCCCCGTCGTTTACCTGTTCTCTCTCTACAATACTTCAGCTTCCTGCTGTTGCCTTTGCGACACACCAGGACTTCATATGCCGACACGAGGACTTTCAAATGGAAGCCCCCTTATTTTCCTGTCCTGTCCTCTCCTCCTCCTCTTCTCTGTTCTCACTTCACTCCACTGTTCCTCTTCTCAGCTTTCCTTCCCTGCTATCTGCCTTAGCACCGCCTCCCCCTCCTCCTTCTCATTCCTCCCTCCCCTCTCTCACTTTTGTCTGCCAGCCCCCTGCCTCTAGTTTCCCTCTTTTAACACACACACACACACAACTCTCCTCTGCCTCTCTCTCCTCCCCCTTCTCTTTTTAGCCTGAGCTTCATCCATCCCCTTCTCTTTCACACATATTCTCTGCGTCGACACAATCCTGCGTCAGATTGAACATTTTTGGAAATGTTATCCACTATTTCTGTTTGGTGGATGTGTTTGAAAGCAGAATGGCCCAAAGGCGTCAGAAGAACACCTCCTCTTAACCCAAAATTTTAACCTCTGTCCTTTGGCTAAATAACAGTGCAGTTACACCCATTTGTGCAATTATCAAACAACACCGACCACATCAGGAGCTGCAGCAGCTACACAGAAGGGGGGGCGGGTCAATTGACTCAGATGGGGTAAATTACATAACATGTTTCTGCTCATCTTTGCACATTCCCCATGCTCTCTTGTGCACATGAAGGTGAGCACGAGTATTATTAGGCAGGTAACAGAACGCAGGGAGTGAATGAGTGTGAATTGAGGATTGATTGAGTGATGTGTTGAGAGGGTGATGGTGGAAAGAAAAGTGTGTGTGCGGTGAGATTACTGGAGCTATATTAAGGCTGCAAATAGAGACTATCTTTATAATCAGCTGATTCTTTCTGCCATTTTATCTGACACAGTCGCTTTTACCTTCATTATGGCCTCAGTATGAACATGAGTTGTCAAGAGTTGGAACAAAGAAATGTTTTTTTTATCTCAGGATGTTCCTCTTACAAAATCTTTGCAGTTTGAAGAGGTTGAAGTGTCTCATATTATCTAGTAGTGTTTTGCCTGATCAACAGTCCAAAAGACATTATACTAAAAATAATATGAAACAAAGAAAAGCAGAAAATCCTTGCATTTATGGCGTGGCTCTTTAGATGTCACTGACCATTAGCTAAATGAAAACCCTAACTGGGATGGATTTCACATTTGGTAAAGATACCCATGGACCACAGGGGGAGGAATCCTGATTCCCTGACTTTTCCTCAAACACTTCACTCTGTCCAATACTTGTTGTTTATGACCAAGTACCTGCAAAACTAATGACATTCCCATTGGCCTCAGCTGTAGTTTCTGTTTAGC